TAAATAGTTCAGACTAGAGGTAAAACATAGGCTTTTAAATTAAATCAGTGGCAAATGGGGATGGAAAGGAGGAAAAAATATTTTAGAGGCATTTTTGAAAGTGAAGCTAATAAGCTAAGGATTGTATGGAAAATAGCAGATGGAAAGTAGGAGAACAAATATATCAGCCTATTAGAAATGCAAATTGAGCTCGGAGGTTAAAACTAGACAGGTAGTTTAGGAATTTGTTCCCTCAAAGGTATGGAAGTGGATGAGATTCTGTAGGGATAGTGTATATAAAGAAAGAACTATAGAGGCTAAGTAGAGAAAGCTCTATGAAGTACAGATTGTCTACAGATGGATATTGAACAGAGGAAGAGAGCTTGTGTTTACTGAATCCAAGCACTGTACTCTGGGTGCTTCACACTTGTTTTCTCAGTCATTCCTCTCAATAATATGCTGTTTTGCTTATGAGGAAATTGAAGTTAGGTAATGTATCCAGACTAACACATAAAGCAGTAGAAACCAGATTTAAACTCAGGGCTGAAACTCCAAAGCCTTATATTACTTTTATATCACCTCTCATTTTGCAGATATGGAAACTGAGGCATAGAGAGAAGTTTGTCCAAGTTTTGCATATATATTAAGTGGTAGTGTTGTTGAAACTTGCAAAAAGGTTTAGTAGCTTGAAGACTTATAAGAAAAAAGACCTCTAATTTTGACTGATAGGAGGTTATTGTTGACAGTGTTTTATGTTATTATATGATAATAATAGCTAACATTTTTGAACATCTTCTATGTAACAGGCTCTGTTCTAAGTTCATTTAATCTTCACAACAGTTCTTGAAGTATGTAATTATCCCCATTTTATAAATTAGGAAACTGCGTTACAGAGGGGTGAAGTTATGTAACATTGTAAGAGAGAGAGTTAGGATTTAACTTAGGCAGACTGACTTCAGAACCCATCCTCTTTACCAGGGGCTGGCAAACAGGCTGGTGGGCCAAATCTGGCCAGCTGCCTGTTTTTGTAAATAAAGCTTTATTGGAACACAGTTAGTCTTATTCATTTATGTATCATCTATGGCCCCTTTCAACAGAATTGAGTAGTTGCAACAGACTGTATGGCCTGAAAAATGTAAAATATTTACTACCTGGTCCTTTATAGAAAAAGTTTTCCAGTCTCTGGTAACCATTAAAGTGGGTGTAAAGCCAAATCTTGAATGTAATGTTAACTTGGGAAGAAAGGCAATATAGGCAATGGCATGGCCTATTTATAGCAGTTCAGTAGTGAAGAAACGGTAAATGGATTGAATGGTAACTTTAAGGAGAAATATGGTAAAATGAACATTTTTTTCACATAGGAAAGATTTGAGTATGTTAGTAGCATAAGAAAAAACGTCAGTTGAATAGGAGATAATGAAGCTGTGAGGGAGGAGTAAAGTTGGTATAGGGTTTTGGGGAATGTAGGAAAGAGTAGGAATATTTATTATTGGAAAGGAGCCAAAGACTTTTCTTTGAAACACTGAGCAGGAGCAAAAAAGATAATTATGTTAGATATTAGAAATATAGGATTGTTTTGAAGTCAGACAAAGGCATTAGGAATAGGAATTTTCATTAGGTGGCTATAACTTCACTCAAGTAGGGATGAGGATAAGATGGTTCAAATGTTGAATTGATTCAATAATTATTCTTTTCACTACTCAACGGTTGTTACAATTATTATTTTTTAATCTCCCCATCATGTTTAGTGTGATAAAAAAATATAAGAAAGTAAGAATAATTATACAATTTTGGATAGTGTTATAAACTATTTTTTTAGCAGGTTAAAGTTAGGGAATACAAGTAGGATTTACATTGTTGGTGGTATTATGTTATAAAGTACTATTTAAAGTCTACTTTACAATGTATTTTTATAAACAGCTTTATTGAGGTATGATTGTATAATAAACAATGGTACCATTTGAAAATTCTGACATATGCATCATACTCCTGTGAAATTGTTATCATTCTACCTGTATCTCCTGGTCCCCCCTTTCACGAATTTTGATATGTTGTTTTTTCATTTTTATTCTGCAAAATCCCTTTTTTTAATTTTTTGAGATGGAATCTTGCCCTGTCACCCAGGCTGGTGTGCAGTGGTGTGATTTCGGCCCACTGCAGTCTCCTGCCTCAGCCTCCTGAGTAGCTGGGATTGATTACAGGAGTGCGTCATCACCCCCAGCTAATTTTGTACTTTTAATAGAGATGGGATTTCGCCATATTGGCCAGGCTGGTCTCGAACTCCTGACCTCAGGTGATCCTCCTGCCTCGGCCTCCCAAAGTGCTGGATCAGAATACTTTTTAATTTCCTTTTTTCTTCTTTGACACCTGGGTTATTTAAAAGCGTGTTATTTAGTTTCTAAATATTTGGAGATTTTCCGGAGATCCTTCTGTTGCTTCTAATTTAATTTCATGTTATCACAAAAAATATTTTGCCTCATTTGAATCCTTTTAAACTCATCAAGACTTGTTTTATGGCCTGTAATATAGTCTATCTTGGTATTTCAGTGTGCATTTGAAAAGAACATGTTAGGTAGGGTGTCATATAAATGTCTTGTCAAGGTGGTAGATAGTGTTGTTCTAATCATCCCTATGCTTACTTATTTTCCATCTACGTGTTCTGTCAGTTATTGCGAAGGGTTATTGAAATCACCAGTTATAACTGTGAATTTATGTGTTTTTCGTTGTGTGTTTTTTTTTTTTTTGAGACGGAGTCTCGCTCTGTCGCCCAGGCTGGAGTGCAGTGGCGCGATCTTGGCTCACTGCAAGCTCTGCCTCCCGGGTTCACGCCATTCTCTTGCCTCAGCCTCCCGAGTAGCTGGGACTACAGGCGCCTACAACCGCGCCCGGCTAATTTTTTGTATTTTTAGTAGAGACGGGGTTTCACCGTGGTCTCGATCTCCTGACCTTGTGATCCGCCCGCCTCGGCCTCCCAAAGTGCTGGGATTACAGGCGTGAGCCACCGCGCCCGGCCCGTTGTGTTTTTTAAAGTATTTTCAAACTCTGTTTATTAGGTACATAAATATATGGAGTTATGTCCTTTTTTTTTTTTTTTTGGAGATAGAGCCTTGCTCTGTTGCCCAGGCTGGAGCACAATGATGTGATTTCAGCTCACTGCAACCTCTACCTCCTGGGTTCAAGCGATTCTAATGCCTCAGCCTCCCCAGTAGCTGGGATTACAGGCATGCGCCACCATTGCCTGGCTAATTTTTTGTATTTTTAGTAGAGATGGGGTTTCGCCATGTTGCCCAGGCTGGTCTTGAACTTTTGAGCTCAGACAGTCTGCCCACCTCTGCCTCCCAAAGTGCTGGGATTACAGGCATGAGCCACCGCGCCTGGCTGTTATGTCCTTTTGATGAATCGACTCTTTCATAATTGTAAGTGACTCTTTTTATCCCTGGTAATGCCCTTTGTATAGAAATCTTTTTTTTTTTTTTTAAATAAGAAACAGTTTTGGTCTGTCAGCTAGGCTGGAGTGCAGTGGTGCAATTATAACTAATGTCAGTCTTGAACTCTTGGCTGCAAGTGATCCTCCTGCCGTGGCCTCCCAAAGCCCTGGGATTATAGGCATGAGCCACTGTACCTAGCCTATTTCTTATGTTTTATCTGAGTGTGTTTTAGTTGTTTCAGGTAGAAGTATAATCTGTTTCCCTATCTTGGTCAGAGTGAAGTCAGAATATTTTTTAAATGCCCATTATTTAAGAACCATATTTGCAATGGTAACTTTTTCTTTTTGTTTGTATCAGTGATATTTCGAAGAATCTGATGAAGGTTATGGATCTTAGCCTCCCGCCTACCAATTTACAGAGGCTTATTATGCTTATAAAATTTTAGTTGCAATTTCGTGGAATTTATAGGCTTGAAGTTTAATTCACTCCTACCTAGGAATTCTTGCTTTCCAACTCTCATTGCGTATTAGAATTACATGAGAGAGCTTGCGACAAAATATATTCTTCACCACATACCTATGAAATCTGAATCTTTCATTAGTGGGACCCAGACTTTGTTTTTATTAACAAAACTCCCCAGGGAATTCTAATGTGCAGCCAAGATTAAAAACGACTCTGTTTTAAAGCAGAGGATGACTACTACTTCAAAAGATTTCTCTTCCTTCCTTTTATTGGCAAGAATACTAGGGAGGAGCTATATAGGGAACCAGTTACTCTTTATACCCAGTCAAAGTAGCACCGGTTACTTTAAAAAAATTGCCAATTCCACCTTCAGACTTTGTCTTGGTAAACTGTGTTTGCGCTTTTAACAAGAGTGCATACAGAAGTTAAAATAAGAAATCTTTTTCGGTTGTGTTTCATAATTTGCTTTAACAAAATGCAAAATATTAGGATATCGCTATTGTAAACAAAAGGCAGCTGTATGTCAACATGGACCTCAGAGCCCAAGAGCTTGTTATAAGAAATAAGGCTGTAAGTAAATAGGAATTCTAATTTTCCAAATCACTGGGTTTTTTTTTTTTAATGTGATATGCTTTGTTACAGGTTTTATGTTGTATCAAGTATATGTATGTGTGTATATATATATGACTTTATTGGTAATTCATTCTAAAAAATGTACCTCATATTGCCTTCAGTGAGCTACAATGTGCTTGGCTGATTTTAAAATGCCAGAAAGCAGTAAGGAAGAGAAAATAGCACAGAACACTCTTAATAATTGAGAGGTGTGGTATAACATGGACTCTGTGACTCCAGCACTGATTGATTTCACATGGCGTCAGTTTTTAGATGTGTCAAATTATGTAATCTATGGAGTAGTTAGTTTGGAATGCTGCTTTTATGCAAGCTGATTCTTTTATATGAATTTCATAATGAAGAATTTGAACATCATGTCCATTTTGTATGTTAGGCTTTTCAATTTCTGAATCTTCTAATGCTCTTGAACTAATGATGAAGTTTTAAAGGATTAAATGATTCTGTATAAATCTAGTTTAAAGCATGTTTTTCCTTATTGTAACCAACTTTTCCTTACAGCTGTGAACTTCACAGAAGTTAATGAAGAAAACAAAAACGATGTCTTCCAGGAAGTGTTTTCTTCTATTGAAACTTTGGCATTTACCTTTGGAAATATGTAAGTAGAGGACTGTCATTTAAAGCAGCTGGGCCTAGGTGTCTTAGTGAGAGTGTGTTGCATTATCCAGTAAGATATATGGGAAATGAAGTATTAAATGGTATTAAATATCACAACTTTGGAAAAACTACCTTCTGTATGGCCTTATTACTATATTTGAAGGTTTTTTTTTTGAGACGGAGTCTCGCTCTGTCGCCCAGGCTGGAGTGCAGTGGCGCGATCTCGGCTCACTGCAAGCTCCGCCTCCCGGGTTCACGCCGTTCTCCTGCCTCCGCCTCCTGAGGAGCTGGGACTACAGGCGCCCACCACCGCGCCCGGCTAATTTTTTGTATTTTTAGTAGAGACGGGGTTTCACCGTGGTCTCGATCTCCTGACCTTGTGATCCGCCCGCCTCGGCCTCCCAAAGTGCTGGGATTACAGGCGTGAGCCACCGCGCCCGGCTAATTTTTTGTATTTTTAGTAGAGACGGGGTTTCACCGTGGTCTCGATCTCCTGACCTTGTGATCCGCCCGCCTCGGCCTCCCCAAAGTGCTGGGATTACAGGCGTAAGCCACCGCGCCCGGCATTTGAAGGTATTTTTATAGCTATTTAGAAGCAACATCCATTTGCAAGGGACTGTGGTTTATGTGAACAGATTCCTAGGGTTTATTTCTAAGGTTCTTATTTTTAAAAAATTATTTTAGATAACATGTTGAATGTAAACCGTGTCACAAAGAAGTGTAATGACTTGTCTTTCTTTTTTTAACCTCCCTGGATAGCCTTACAAACTTCCTTATGGGAGATGTAGGCAATGATTCATTATTGCGACTGCCTGTTTCTCGAGAAACTAAGGTAAGCTAAGTTTGTGTGAAAGCAAAGTCTTTAATGTTTTTAACCTCATATTTCAACTATTGCCTAATCTTAGGCTGGGGGTAGTGGCTCACACCTGTAGTTCCAGGACTTAGCTGTAATCCCAGTTACTCGGGAGGCTGAGGCAGGAGAATTGCTTGAACCCAGGAGGCAGAGGTTGCAGTGAGCTGAGATCACACCACTGCAGTCCAGCCTAGGTGACAGAGTGAGACTCTGTCTCCAAAAAAAAAAAAGAAAAATTGCTATGAAATAACAGAATATGAGGAATGTATGGATAATATTTCTTTAAAGGTTTATGGTAGTAATATTTTTAATTGACTAAACTTTTCTGCTGAATGCAAGCAAAATACATTAAAAAAACTGCATCAGGGACCTGTGTTGATCATTTTCTGTTAAGGAAGATCAAATCCAAAAAGAATTTCAACAGATATTTGGGACCAGGTATAGTGACTCATGCCTGTAGTCCCAGCACATTAAGAGGCCAAGGTGGGAGGATCATTTGAAGCTAGGAGTTCAAGACCATCCTGGTTAACATGATTGAGACCCTGTTCCTACAAAAAATTAGCCAGGTGTGGTGGCACACACTTATAGTCTCAGCACTTTAAGAGGTAATGGTGGGAGGATCACTTGAGGCCAGGAGTTCAGGATCGGCCTGGTTAACATGATTGAGGCCCTGTCCCTACAAAAAATTAGCCAGATGTGGTGGCACAAGTCTGTAGTCCCAGCTACTTGAAAGGGAAGCTGTGGGGGGGTTCGCTTGAACCCAGGAGTTCAAGGCTGCAGTGAGCTGTGATTGTGTCATTGCTCTTTAGCCAGTGAGACTCTGTCTCTAAAAAAACACAAAGAAACAAAAACAAAAACAAAAATCCCAAATATATGGAAATTTGCCAAGGACTTATATTATTATAAAAACTTCACGTCCTTCCTAAAATTATATAAAATAAAAATGACTATCTAAGGCATTTGTTATATATATTACAATATTGCCAAAAATTATGACTGATTCTGAAGCCATCCATTGACAAATGAAGGCGAATGATGAAAAGTTTTAAGATGTTTAAATATTTTGCTATTATTCATGATTATTCCTAAAGTTTATCTTTTCAAACTATTGCTACTGCCTCAGAAGATAACACAGTTTATCTGTGTGGCAAGACACTGAACAATTTAAATTTTAGGTGTGAATCGTATTTCCTGTTTCTGTACCTTTATTGTGCATACATATGGTACTAATTCTTAACAGGAAAAAATACTTTTTTCTTTTTTTTTCTTTTGTACTTTTTTTTGAAGGTTTTAATTTGTTTTAGAGATTGGAATAAAAAAGCTATGATGATATATAATCCTAATAATAAAATTACTTTGACCAATAGTTTTGAAAAATATCCTTTAAAAATAATAGCTGCAGCCTGGGCGTGGTGGCTCATACCTGTAATCTCAGTACTTTGGGAGGGTGAAGTGGGTGGATCACCTGAGGCCAGGAGTTCCACCCAGAGACCAGCCTGGCCAACGTGGCGAAACCCAGTCTCTACCAAAAATCCAAATATTAGCCAGGAAGGGTGACATGGCACTTGTAGTCCCAGCTACTTGGGAGGCTGAGGCACGAGAATCTCTTGAACCCGGAAGGCAGAGGTTGCAGTGAGCCAAGATCGTGGGCGCTGTACTCCAGCCTGGGTGACAGAGTGAGACTCTGTCTCAAAAAAAAAAAATAAATAAATAAATAATAGTTGCAGGCTCGCACTCTCTATATATTTGCCTCATTTGAATATATATATATATATAGCAACTATGTATTACATATATATATTTTATATATATATATTTTTTGAGAATGAGTGAGAACTCTTTCACCTGGGCTGGAGTGCAGTGGTGCGATCTCGGCTCACTGCAACCTCCACCTTCTGGATTCAAGCAATTCTTGTGCCACAGCCTCCCAAGTAGCTAGGACCACAGACATGTGCTACCACACCTGGCTGATTTTTGTATTTTAGTAGAGGTAGATTTCTCCATGTTGGCCAGGCTGGCCTTGAGCTCCTGACTTCAGGTGATCCATCCACCTCAGTCTCCCAAAGTGCTGGGATTACAGGTATGAGCCACCACACCTGGCCTGTTGCAATATATTTAATAGTGGTCACTATGTACCATGCTCTGCGCTAGGCCTACATCATCTTAATTCTTAAAACAGTCTTTTGAAAGTAGTGTTCTTATCCCTCTTTTACAGAAGACCAAACAAAGTTAGGTGAATTTAAAATATGTAGCCCAGTGTCATACAGGTAATAATGGAGCTCGACTTCAGACCCAGGTCTCCTTGATCATTTTTGCATTGAATCCCTGTATACCCTGTACTACCCAACTTAAATCGATTAAATTTGTTTAAGATCTCAAAGTTTTGGTAAATGATGTTTTCCAGCACAGTGCAATAAAGTAGCACCAGCCACATGTAGTTCTTTAAATTTAATTATAATAGTTAAATAAAATTAAAAATTCACTTCCTAGTCGTGCTAGCCACTTATTAAATGTTCAGGTAGCTACCTGGAGCTATTAGCTACTTTATTGGACAGTACAGATATAAAACATTTCCATCATCATAGAAAGTTTTGTACTAAACTATCTAATAGACTTTTGGAGACATGCTTATCATATAGTAAAATGATAAAAGATGACTGGAAGAGACAGATCTGTGTCTTCTGTTTAGATAGCAATCTGTTTGCATTGCTTCTCTAACTTCTTGACTAATATTTTTATTATCTGCAAAATTTAAAGTTTTGAATGGATTCATTAATGTTAACTAATGCTGTTAGTAACAACAGTGAGGTTGTTCATTCTTAGATCTTGGGAACTGCTGTTGTAAAAAGCTGTGAAATTCTTATGAAGTGTTCTGGCACTTGAACAGACTTCTCAGGCCCTTTAAGTTTTAAATACTTGAAATTCTTTAGCAGGAATTATGTCAGAGTAACAAATTGGGGCAAAAAATTTCTGAAGCAAAGATTTGTGTTCCTCTCTAATTTTAAATTTATCTTTTTCCATGTTATAAGTCGTTTGAAAATGTTTCTGTGGAATCAGTGGACTCATCCAGTGAAAAAGGTATTTATAACTTTTCACAAACTTCTTGTAGTTACTTTCTATAAATGTCCTGGATTAATCTCCTCTTGCCTAGTAACCTAGTGTATTCATTTTTAATGCAAAATGATATATGAAGTTTTACATATAAAGCTTAAAGGAAATAGCCTGCTAGAGTAGATAGATAATATGAGATATAGACTGATCAAGAATTATGTAAAGCTTTTAACTTGATGAATAATATAAATACATTTTAAGACAAAAATACATTACAGTTTGAAACCATTTTAAGTTTAAACTCTGGCCTTTTAAATTGTAAATTTGTCACTTGTATTTTAAAAAAAAAACAGTTTTTATTGACTAACATCTTAGGATCTGAGTGCTTCTTTGTTTAGAGTTATGATGTGATCACATTTAACATATACTTACCTTGATATTTTTGTTTTCAGGAAATTTTTCCCCTTTAGAACTAGACAATGTGCTGTTAAAGAACACTGACTCTATAGAGTTGGCTTTGTCATATGCTAAAACTTGGTCAAAATATACTAAGAACATAGTTTCATGGGTTGAAAAAAAGCTTAACTTGGGTGAGTTGCCTTTTAAAGCATCTGATTTAGAGTGTAATAATTAAATTGTTTCTAACTCATTTTTTACAGATTATGAGTAATAGAATTCTAAATTAGTACCTGTTTCATTGTAGTGAATAAAACCATTATCCAGAAAAGACTCTTCTTACACTAGATGTAATTATTGAATATTTACTGTGGACCAACTACTAGACCTAGGGACACAAAGACAAATAGAATACTTTCTCTGCCTTCAAATAAGTCATACTCTAGTTGGTAAAAAGAAATGCAATCAGATAATATGGTCAGGAGATAATAGCAACAATAGATGTATGAGTAGAAGGCAATGGAAGCAGAGAAGAAACATTTTAACAGCTAATATTTCCCCAGTGTTTTACAGTTGTCAAAATGTTTTCATAGTCATTATCTTATTTACTTCATACAAAAACCCTGAGAAGTAAGCAAGACGCGAATTGTTTTTCCTATTTTACAGGTGAGAGAGACAAGACAGGAGATTCCCTAAGGTCATATAGCAGATTTGCTTAAAGTCATATAGCATAACTGGAAGAATATAGAATCTATCCAAAGCCTATGCTCTTTCTACTATATTATTTGCTTATAATAGAGAATGCTAATCAGAATCACCTGAATAGTCTTGTAGAGGGTCAGTACACAAGCCTAGGTCCTATCCTTCAAAGAGGTGAAATGAAGGCAAATACATTTTGAAAAAGTTTGCCAGTTGATTCTGATGAGCACTCACAATTACGAAATGCTGCGTTAAGAACTGTACATGGTGGCTTATGCCTGTAATCCCGGATATTCCTGAGGCTGAGGCTGGAAGATCACTAGAGCCTGGGAGTTCGAGACCAGCCTGGGCAACATAGTGAAATCATGTCTCTTAAAAAAAAAAAAAAAAAGAAGAAGAAGAAAGTATTGCTGTGTTATATCTTGATACTAGTATTTGTGATAACTTCTTAATTGTGGAATTACAAGTAATTTTAGAATATGGGGGGGGGAAATAAATTGATTTTACCTTCTGATACCTTCTTTGAACTTTTCAGAATTGGAGTCCACTAGAAATATGGTCAAGTTGGCAGAGGCAACTAGAACTAACATTGGAATTCAGGTAAGTGTTCTGTGAACTTCTAGGGTTCTGTAATAAGAAACTACTCATGAACTCCCAATAATTTGCAAAATCAGAATATTTCAGTTAATATAGGAAAGCACTTAAATGCTGATCATTTTATTGACAAAATTATTTTAAGTTTAGATGAATGTCCATTATGAAAAAATCTAGGAAATATACTTTTTTTTTCATCTTAATACAGGGTCTCACTCTGTAACCCAGGCTGGCGTGCAGTGGCATGATCTCAGCTCACTGCAACCTCTGTCCCCCTAGGCTCAAGCGATCCTCTCACCTCAGCCTCTTGATTATGTGGAACTATAGGTGCCCACCATGCCTGGCTAATTTTTGCATGTTTTTATAGAGATGGGGTTTCACCATGTTGCCTAGGCTGATCTCAAACTCCTGAGCTCAAGTAGGCCGTCCCCTTGGCCTCCCAGAGTGTTGGGATTACGGCGTGAGTCACTATTCCTAGCCAGAAATTTACAGTTTTATACAAATACTGATTGTCTTGATAGCTACTACTTTTGCTAACCAGTTTTATAATTAATTAATTTTCTTCTATATTTTTCTCATAGTCATGTTTATGACTAGTTATTTTTCTGGGGGCAAAAGTCTAAACTTAGTTTCCCTTTTTGAAGAGTAGTGATGTGTTTGGAATTCTAGTGCCATTTCTATTGTAAAATTTACTTTTCAATTTTAAATTTTAGGAGTTCATGCCACTGCAGTCTCTGTTTACTAATGCTCTTCTTAATGATATAGAGAGCAGTCATCTTTTACAACAAACAATTGCAGCTCTCCAGGCTAACAAATTTGTACAGGTAAAGATTAATTTATATGTGTAATACACTTTTTCGTTAAACAATGGCGTGCCTTTAGAAAATTGCTTTTTTCTTTTTCCATTTTAAATACCCTTCACAGCCTCTACTTGGGAGGAAAAATGAAATGGAAAAACAAAGGAAAGAAATAAAAGAACTTTGGAAACAGGAGCAAAATAAAATGGTTAGTATTAAAATGGAGTTTCATATACCTATTTGTGAACATTTAAAATAATCTGCAGTATATACTGACCTTCCTTGCTCTCATTTTTCTAAAATACTGTCTTAACTATCTTGCTGAATATGCTAAAGACATTTAGCATAAAGACATTTAGCTGAATATGCTAAAGACATTTAGTTCTGTAGGATTTCTTTCATATTCTGTGTTTAATACTCTTTGCGATGTAGCTTGAAGCAGAGAATGCTCTCAAAAAGGCAAAATTATTATGCATGCAACGTCAAGATGAATATGAGAAAGCAAAGTCTTCCATGTTTCGTGCAGAAGAGGAGCATCTGTCTTCAAGTGGTGCATTAGCAAAAAATCTCAACAAGCAACTAGAAAAAAAGCGAAGATTGGAAGAGGAGGCTCTCCAAAAAGTAATGATCTTTTTCTTTTTTATTTGCAAGTTGAATTAGCAGTAATCTGCCAGGAGTTTTGTGTCAAAGTTCTGTGTCTGCCAGGACTGCCTGGAAAGGCGTGTTAAAAGATGGCTAAGCCCATCCCCCAGAGTTTCTCATTCAGTAAGTCAACAGAGGGGGCAAGGCAGGTTACATTTTTTAACAGACTCTCAGGTGGTGCTGATGCTGTTGGTGAGGATCCACATTTTGAGAACCACTATGCTGAGAGCTGAATTTTGGAGTTTGTGAAAGAATATCTTTTTTTTTTTTTTTTTTTTTTTGAGACGGAGTCTCACTCTGTCGCCCGGGCTGGAGTGCAGTGGCCGGATCTCAGCTCACTGCAAGCTCCGCCTCCCGGGTTTACGTCATTCTCCTGTCTCAGCCTCCCGAGTAGCTGGAACTACAGGCGCCCGCCACCTCGCCCGGCTAGTTTTTTGTATTTTTTTAGTAGAGACGGGGTTTCACCGTGTTAGCCAGGATGGTCTCGATCTCCTGGCCTCGTGATCCGCCCGTCTCGGCCTCCCAAAGTGCTGGGATTACAGGCTTGAGCCACCGCGCCCGGCCGAAAGAATATCTTACTGAAGGCAGTAGTTTCATAGATATTTTACTTGACAAGAAAGTTCACCTTTTAAGCAAGTGTGTGTGTATATGTGTACTAATTCAAGCACCTGATAGCAGGGATAGGCAGAAGCTTTGTATTATTGATGAAGTGTAATTTTACGAACAAAATTCTATAAGATTATATGGAATATAGTAAATGTAAATATAAAATGCTATTTCAAATAGGAGCAAGTATTTTATAGATAAACAATATACTAATTATAAATTGTACATGGCTGTCCATTAAAATCAAGTGCCTTTGAATCACGGACCAGAACAGATTAAGTTTAGAAGTATTATTTTGAAAACAGAATATTTCAGAATTTTCAGTTATTTCAACTTAGCTTTACTATAGTAAATATTTGTTTAAAATATAAATTCTAGTGGTTTTCTTTCTGTCATATTTGTGAAGGTAGAAGAAGCAAGTGAACTTTACAAAGTTTGTGTGACAAATGTTGAAGAAAGAAGAAATGATCTAGAAAATACCAAAAGAGAAATTTTAACACAACTCCGGACACTTGTTTTCCAGTGTGATCTTACCCTTAAAGCTGTAAGTAATTTCTTCAGTATTTTGAAGGCAAGAAGAAAAGACCGTCAGGCCAGGCATGGTGGCTCACACCTGTAATCCCAGCACTTTGGGAGGCTGAGGTGGGAGGATCACTTGAGCCCAAAAGTTTGAGGTTACAGTGAGCTATGATTATGATTACCCACTGTAGAATGGGTGATCAAGAAAGAGAGAGAGAGAGAAGGAAGGAAAGAAGGGAGGGAGGAAGGGAGGGAGGGAGGGAAAAGAAAGAGAAGTCTCTGTATCTGCAGAAGGGGAAGGTATGCCTTATAAGTTACAATTCTTATGGGATTAAGATTCTGAGATTAATAAAATGTGTTGAGTTTGCAGATTGATTTTCAGTTTTTCATAGTGATGCACAGTTTGAATTTCTTTTGATCTGCCTTTCCCCATGTTCTCTGGATTAATGATTTGTTTGGTTAAAATTGAAGTCTTGAGTGTTTAAAATTGCCTCTAAGCCACCAGTTTTCTTGGCTTTGCTGACATAATTGTTTTGACCCTTGAAACTTCTGTCAGTGCTCTGAGTTATATTCTTCAGAATTGGAGTAAATTAAATATTAAAATTGAACCAAATTATTTGTTTGGAGACAAAGCATTCTGCCCTGAAGTATTTTTATTTACTCTTTAAAATGCTTTTTGTAAAATTAATTACATATAAAACCTTTTTTTCCATGTATAGTCCGCAAGTTTTAACAGTTATAAATTTGTGTAAGTACCACCACAATCAGGATTCAGAACAATACTGTCACTTAAAAATGATTCCTTCATGCTACTTACTTTGTAGTCCAACTCTCTGCCCACTCATAACCCCTGGCAAGTACCGATCTGTTCTCTGCCTTATTAGTTTGGTCTTTTCCAGATTGTCATATAAATGAAGTTATATAGTATATAACCTTTTGACTGGTTTATTTTACTCAGCATAATGCCTTTAAGATTCATCAATGTTATGCATGTATCAGTAGTTTGTTTCTTTTTATTGCAGAATTCCATTGTGTGACTGTAGTACAGTGTTTATCCATTCACTAGTTGGACATTTGTGGTGTTTCCAGTTTGGGGTGATTATGAGTAGAGCTACAGAATATTTTCTTATACATTCTTGTTGAACATAAGTTTTCTTGTCTCTCAAGTCAATACCAGGAGTGGGATTACTGGTTGGTGTGCTAAATGTATAGTTACCTTTTTAAGAAACTGCCAAACCGTTTTCCAGAGTGGCTATAATATTTTTCATTCTAACCGGCAGTGTCTGAGAGTTCTAGTTGTTCTGTGTCCTTGACATGTATCAGTCATTGTTTTTAAATGTTAGCTGTTCCAATAGGTGTGTTATCTAATTGTGGTTTTAATTTGTGTTTCTAAAAATGATTAACAATATTGAGCATCTTTTCAAAGGCTTATTGACAATCTATATTTTAGCTATTTTAAAAATTGAGTTGTTTATTTTCTTGTTGAGCTTGCATATATTTTCTCTCATTCTGGAGCTTCTCTTTTTATTATTTTAACAGTGTATTTTGGGGAGCAAAAGGTTTTAATTTTGTTGGAATCCAACTTACCAGTTTTTTCTCTTATGGGTCATGCTTTTGGTTATATCTAAGAGTGCTTCACCTAACCCAAGAACATAAAGGTTTATCCTATGATTTCTACTAAAACTTCTGTAGCTTTACATAAAGATATATGATCTGTTTTGGGTTAATTTTTGTGTAAGATTTAAGGTACAGGTTGTTCATTTTTAGCATATGGATGTTATATTAAAATTATACTCATAGGATTTTACTTGATCAGAGTGACACAGAGAGGTCAGTGCTGTTGAAAGAAAAACTTAGGACTTAAATTTCCCAAGAGAAGGGGACACATCAGTCCACGCAGGGCCACAAGGGAAATACTGGGTTTGGCAAGCATAAGCAGGGATGAAAGGAAGCTGAGTAGAGTTTTTGTTGGGGTTTCCTCAGGAAAGGCAAGGTAAACTGTTTCTCAACAGTTTGGCTAGTGTGGATTTCCGTGGACTTTGGATCATAGGGATGGTTTCTAGTTGTGTTGTACCTGACCCCGGGGTGATTTAGGACAGATAAAATAATTGGCTTTGTGTGTAAGAGTTAGAAAAGGAGGTGGCTGGATTTATAGACTGGAGACTTGTTGCTTTGCACATGAAAGCTGTGATCCTACCTGAGCCCTTGGCTATCTCTAGGAATTAGCTAGCCCAGGGAGAGTCAGTCTCTCACTGGCCAGCATGCTTTTTAAGATGTCAAAACTGCATAAAATAGAGAAAATAAAAAACATGGTAAATGCAGATGTCCACTTGTTTTGATACCATTTGTTGAAAACACTATGCCATTTTCATTAAATTGCCTCTGCATCTTGGTAAAAATCAGTTGGCCATATTTGTGGGTGTCTACTTCTATATTTTCTGTTTTGTTGCACTGAAGTACTTGCTGTCTTTTTTTTTTAATACTTTAAGTTCTGGGGTACATGTGCACAATGCGCAGGTTTGATACATAGGTATACATATGCCATGTTGGTTTGCTGCACCCATCAACTCATCATTTACATTAGGTATTTCTCCTAATGCTATCCCTGCTCCAGCGCCCAATCACCTGACAGGCCCTGGTGTGTGATGTTCCCCGCCCTGTGTCCAAGTGATCTCATTGTTCAATTCCCAGCTATAATTGAGAACATGCGGTGTTTAGTTCTTGCTGTCCTTTTTGTAAAGCCCCAGTGTCTTGATTATTTTTGCTTTACAGCAAGTCTTAAAATCAGGTGCACAGTGTGGGTCTTCCAGCTTTATTCTTTTATAGAATTGTTTGAGTATTTTAGGTCCTTTGACCTGCCTTAAAAATGTTAGAATCAGCTTGTCCATATCTCCAAAAACTCTTGCCAACATTTTGGTTGGATTTGGTATTAAGTTTTAGATCAGACTGGGGAGCATTGACTGTATATGTAGCATCTTAGCAATATAAAGTTGCCAACACATGAACATACTATGCCTCTCCAACTACTTAGGTCTTTGATTTAAAAAAAAAAAAAATCAGCATTTTGTAGTTTTCAACATACCTTTAATAAGTTGTGTTAGATTTAATCCTGTGTATGTATGTGTTTATTTGGGGGGGCTATTGTGAATGGTCTGTATGTACACATAAGTGCATATGTATAGATTTCCTTTATTTAAAATTTCCATTGTTAATTGGTTTGGGGGCTTTTTTGTTTGTTTTTGTGTTTTGAGACAAGGTTTTACTGTTTCACTCAGGCTGGAGTACAGTGGCGTGATCATAGCTTACTGCAGCCTCACCCTCCTGGGCTCAAGTAATCCTCAGCCTCCCAGGTAGCTAAGACTACACGTGCATGCCACCATGCCCAGCTAATCTTTGTATTTTTGTAGAGACTGGGTTTTGCCATGTTTGCCCAACCTGGTGTCGAATTCCTGGGCTCAAGGAATCCACCCACCTTGGCCCCCCAGAGTGCTGGGATGACAGGTGTGAGCCACCGTGCCTGGCTGTTTTAATTGTTAATATTTAGAAATATACTTGATGTTTTGTGTGTTGGTCTTGTATTTTGCAGCCTTGCTAAACTCACTTATTTGTTTTAGGAGCTTTTTGTAGATTCTTTGGGATTTTCTACATAGAAAATTATGTTACCTGCAAATAGGGACAGTTTTATATCTTCCTTTCCAATCTGTATTCCTTTTATTTCTTTTTCTTATTGCCCTAACTAAGGCTCCTAGTACACTGTTAAATAGGGGTAGTGAGAGAAGACATCCTGGCCTAATTGTCCATCTTAGGGGAAAAGCACTGTCTTTCACCATAAAATATGGTGATAGCTGTAGGTTCTTTGAAGATGCATTTAATCTGGTTAAGAAATTTCTTTTTTCTAGTTTGCTGAGAGTTTTATCATGAATAAAGGTTAGATTTTATCAAATGTTTTTCTGCATTATTTGATACATGTAGTTTTGTCTTTAGCCTGTAAATATGGTGGATTATGTTAATATTTGAGTGTGGACCTCGCTTTGCATCCCTGGAATAAGCCCCTCTTGGTCATGAGGAATTGTTTTCTTTTATATATTGCTGGATTCAATTTGCTACTTTGTTGACTATTTTTTTCTTTTTCTCTCTGTTAGAGAAAGATTGATATGTCTAAAAAAACTGTTTTTGTCTGATTTTGAAAGTGTAAGGGTGATTCTGGCTTCATAAAATGAATTGGGAAGTGCTCCCTCCTATTTTGTTTTCTGGAAAAGATTGTGTCAAATTTGTGTTATTTCTTCTTTAAAAGTTTGATAACATTCCTCTGGTGAAAGTGTCTAGGCTTGGGATTTTCTCTTTTGGAAGTTTTTTTTTTACTACGTATTCAGTGTATTTTGATATAGACCTATTCAAGTTAATTATTTCTTCTTAGGTGATTTTTGGTAGCTTGTGGCTTTCATGGAATTGGTCCTTTTTATGTAGGTTGTTGAATTTATGTGCATAATGTGTCTTGTAGTATTCTCTTACCTTTTAATGTCTCAGTGGGCTGTAGTAATAACCTCTCTTTCATTCCCGATACTGGTAATTTGCATCTTTTTTCTCTTTCTCTCTCTTTGGTCAGTCTGGCAAGAGGTTTATAAGTCTTATTATCCTTTTAAAAAAGAAATAGCATTTAGTTTCGTAATTTTTCTTTTTCTCAGTTTTACTGATTCTGCATTTTATTCTTTATTTCTGCTTTCTTTGGGTTTATTTTGCCTTTTAAAAAAAAGTTTCTGAAAGCAGAAGCTTATGTTGTTTATTGAGACCTTCCTGTGCTTTTCTGATACATTTAGTTCTTTAAATTTTCCTCTCCAAGCATTGCTTATGTATATCTCACAAATTTTGAAATTTGTATTTTCATTTATATTCAGTTCAAAATATTTTCTAATTTCCCTTGAGACTTCGTCTTTGATCTGTGGATAATGTAGAAGTCTGTTGTTTAATTTCCAAGTATTTGAGGATTTTCTGGATATCTTCCTGATACTGATTTTTAGTTTAATT